CCCCCCCCGAAAAAAAAGAAAAAGAAAAAAAGAACCTGATTTGTGTTTAATTGCTGCGATAAGTTGGCATTTTGTACTTTTGAAGTTTGAAGTTATTAAACTAATTTCCAACTTGATGATACAGACACATGCTGTGGCAGAAAACCTTCTCAAGTATCATTCACAGACTGTTGGATTAGTAATGGGTAGTGGCCCACGAAGAAAAGAGGTAGAGCGCATTATCAAAGGAGCTAATCTTTTAGTAGCAACACCCGGCCGTCTTCTTGACCATCTTCAAAATACTAAAGGCTTCATATATAAAAGCTTACAGGTATAGAAATACATTTTCTTGGCTAAAATTTGATTTTCATTGACCATGTTTCACAACAGACGAGTAACTTTTATTAAATCTTACATGTCCTCACAGCCATTGATGTATGTCGTTGTTATGACAGTTTGGATCAAATTCATTTTATTTATTGATGGATCAACAATATGTTATAATGACAAAAGTTGATTATTATTCTCTCTAAAAGTTGCTTCCTAAATATTAAAAGTAGTAGAGGATGTTGTTTCTCTACAGTTAGAATGGGTCTTTTTATTATTATTATTATTATCTAAAAGCTGTGATGACACAAATTAGTAGCTTTTGGAGAATGATTTCTGATGGGAAAACTAGTTAAAAGGCATTAAATCACCATTTTTGCTTCTAGGCAGTGGAATATTGCACTGCAAGGGGGTCCCCCACAGGATTTGAAATTATAGCAGGACAAAGGCCATGAGGTTTGATTTAATGGTAGCCAAATAACGATACAGTTAACAGATCAGTATGGTATTGAGTAATCTTTTTTATGTAACTTTTTTCTGTTCCTTTTTTTTTTTTTTTTTTTTTTTTTTTTGTATAATAGTTGATACAATGATATAGAATATTGCCCCCATTTGGCCCCTATTAATTTCCATTCCATTACATTTCATTTCTCTCTCTCTCTCTCTCTCTCTCTCTCTCTTATTTTTCAACCACACAATTTTTCATAAAATAATATTACACGTAAATAAACAAAAAAAAAATAATTCTTTTTCAACCAATCATTTTTCAAAAAAACACTATTTCATCCATTTTTATCTCCACAAAATGGGGGCCAAATGGGGGCATTAGTGAAAAAATGCAAAAGTGAATGGTATCAGCAACATATCCTTTTATAATAACATTAGGGCTGGTGAGTAGATCCTTTATCTTCAACTCGAGAACACTAATCATGATTAAAGAAGCAGTAGGGATTAGCTTGTGCATGAAGAGATGTATCATCCACCACAGAGAGCATTCAGGATCCAGACCTTTACTCTTTTCTTCCCTTTGCTTATTTATAGTGCTTTAGTTCTAAATACATTTTGGGACTTGCAGTGCCTCATGATTGATGAAGCTGATAGGATTTTGGAAGAAAATTTTGAAGAAGAAATGAAGCAGATCATTAAAATTTTGCCAAAGGTACTTGCTGCTATAGTTAATTCTTATGAGTCTTATATGTAGTCAAATTTTTGCTTTTGGTTTTTCTGGTTATGCAAAATTTAATATTGCCGGCCTTCTTTTTCCTCCCTATTTTTATTATTATTTTTTTTTTTTGGTGGATGAGGGCAGAATGAAATGCGATTCATAATCTTTTGAGAGTTCCCTGAGGCAGAGTTGTATTTATTTATTTATTATTATTATTTTTTCAGTTTTTCTGGGGCTCATTATATCATATGTTCTTTTTTGGTGACTTAGAATAAGATAGGTCATGGTGCAATTATTGAATTGAAGGGCTGCATTTATTAGCAAATTTAAGTTGTAACCTATGTGTCAGATTTTCTCGTTAAGTAAGGGAAATTGGTCCCGGAGGTCTTCAACCTCCATATAAGTGAGCTGTGATGCTCAGACTCGTCTTTTTGGTCAATAGACCTATGTTGAGACCGGGTGTGAAGTATGGGGCGGGCTTGGCGATTTTCAACTGGACACGGCTAGGAACAGAACTTATTGGAACTTGAATGCCGCCACTGTTGTTGTAGAGTGCAGAAAGCCGTGAATCTGAAAGGGATTAGGGAAGGAGAAAGTGTTATGTTGGACTATGGCCCTTTTTAAAAAAAAAAAAAAAAAAAAAAATTATCCACTGGCCTTTAGATTTGGTTGAGCCTTAATATGTACAGGAAACAAAATTTTGGGATTTTTTTAGCTATATCTTGGGTGGGTGAATGATTTGAGGTCTGTTTGTTGGCATAAAATGGGCTTTTGTACTTGGGTAATTTAGGAGTCGTGTTTTTATAGATATCAATTTTACTTTAATATTGCAGTACTTGTGAGATTAAAAATATTTCGATGTAATTTATGAATATTTTATTAAAATGTGTTATATGGTGTAATTTTCACTGTAAAAAAATAGTTAGGCTTATGAAATTAATTGATGATTACCTATAGATATTTTTTTAGTGTGTTTATAAACAAGTACGTAAAATATCTCATTGGACCATTAATAAACAGGCCGCCAAATTAATTGATTTTATTATAAATTATAATGTATAAAGTGCAATCATATCTACAACGAATGAAAAGATTTTGCTTGTAAATCTATGGGAAAGATTGCCATTTATTATAAATTACAATATATAATTTGTCATTTAATTATTATTTAATTTTTTACATATGAATTTTTGGGAAAAAAATTGTAGTTTCAAAGACGTATCCACGTACTCGTATATGAAATTTGGAATTCTTTTAACCATATCCTCGTATTTTACATTTTAAAAAATAAAATATTTGACACTTGGATACGTACCCATACCCGATACCAGTACCTAAGTCCGAGCATCATAGCAAGTGAGAACCTAAATCCCCAACTTTCAATTTCTGTAGTACTCAAGTCCCAACTAAGGAATTCCATCGAAAAAACTCTTAATAATTCACATGTTTGGTACATGATGTTTAGTTAATAAGACAATTATATTTAATAAAAAATTAAATCTAGTGAGGAAAGATGAAAAGAATTATATAAAAAGAAAGAAAACATCGAAATCACTCATGTCCCCGCACATACCCATAGCCACCAAGTGTCCCTTGCCATTATTGTGGAAATTGGGCTAATGGATAGAAGTAGTAAAATATATTTTATGAAAGAAAATTCTAGTCGTGATTAATTGGTGAACTTATGAAAAGAGAGATTGAGGAAAAATTCTGCTAAATGGATTTAAGCATTCTTGATTATAGAGATGATATTGAACTCAGGATTGCACTTTCTTGGTAAGTTCTCTGTCACAGGTTACAGGAGATTATTTAATATGGCAATGCTAATTCATCAGGATTTTGGGGAAGAAGATGATGGGGGCTGTGGCAGCGACTTGCTCCGTAGTAGCGGATGGTGATGACAGGATGGAGGTGGCAGGGTAGGGGCTGCACAGATGGGAGGTGGAAAGTTGGGGAAGAAATGATTCTTTTTTTGAATTACCCTTCTTGCTCTTGGAACCTTGTGAGAGACATGTAGCATTCTAATAGCTAAATGGACAAAATGTTGTTGGGGAACAATTCCTAATAAATTGCAGGTTGAGGACCGCAAGTGCTCGTTCATCAAGGATTAAGGACCTCTGCTGCTAATTGTACAAGAAGTAATACAAATGAAAGTACAAATTTGTGTACTGATATAGGTAGATACATCTGGCTTAATGTGTTATCTCAATGATGGCATCCATTGCTCATCAGCATTTAAGGAATCCGTTTCTGCTTCTATGGCTTTTTAATTATTTCCATTCCTTCCTTGAGAGTTACGAAAATATGTGTCCTATGAATGTGCTGAACAATGTAAATGTTGTATTGCAATATGGTTATAACTATTTTGAAATGATAAAATGATACAGTCATCTCCATTTTTTGTGAACTAATCGACTTACTATGCAGAAGAGACAAACGGCTCTTTTCTCTGCTACACAGACTAAGAAGGTATGAATACTGAGCTGATGGTTTTTACACTGATTCTGTTTAATATTCTATATTTCTACAAAGAGAATGCAAGAAATATATACAAGAATGTATTCCAATACGATTTTATTTTCAATTTCTTTTAGTATCCTAAATTTCCACATTCATTGCAGATTCTTATATTGTGGTTCCGAAGTGAATTTTTATTACTTACCGTATAGATAATGGAAAACAGGATTTTCACTTACTGTCGCCTGGCGGACTTAAAAAAGAAATATATTATCAATTTCAGGTTGAGGATCTTGCGCGTGTATCATTTCAGAAAACTCCTGTCTACATTGATGTGGATGACGGAAGGAAGCGGGTACACTGTCTTCTGATTTTTCCTTTGGTTGAAACTGATATATTTTATTCTCTTTTGATTAAATGTTAGCATTTATAGGTCATCAACGAAGGGCTGCAGCAAGGCTTCTGTATTGTCTCAAGTGCCAAAAGATTTGTTCTTCTGTATTCCTTCTTGAAGAGGAATCTGTCAAAGAAAGTGATGGTCTTTTTCTCATCACGCGATTCTGTCAAATTTCATTCAGAACTTCTTAGATACATTCAGATTGATTGTTTTGATTTACATGGAAAGCAAAAGCAGCCGAAACGAACTTCCTCATTTTTTAATTTTTGCGAAGCGGAGAAGGGTATCTTGTTATGTACCAATATAGCTGCACGTGGTCTTGATATTCCTGGTGTGGTATGTTTCTTCACCTTTATAATACAAACTCAGCCAGCGCCCCCCCCCCCAACCCCCGCCCCCAAAATAAAGAAAAATACATTATTTACCTGGGAAATAAGGCGTAAAAAAATAAATAAAAAAAATGATAACATATGGAATATGTATATAGTTAAAGAATGGCATATCTTTACTCTCCCTCTTTCTTTGGCAGAATCTTTTCCTATTTTTTCTGAATTGACACCTTTCTAACGAGCAGAGTCACAGAAATATCAGTAGTATTAAAACCGGGCTAGAGCGGTTGTTTCAACTGGAAAACGAGGAACAGACTGGCCTAGTCATGTAGTGTGAACTGACTACTAAAAAAATTATAAAATAGCTGGTGAACTAGCCGGTTAAGCTGTGAATTGTCCTTGGTTTTTTTCCCAGTTCTTCATAAATATGAACAAAAACTAATGATTTAACTTTTTTTTACTAAATCCATGCGCATGGTAAATATGACCACTTAGCTGCTTATTCTTTTGGAAAATTGTAGCATCGGTTCCAAACCTTTTCAGGTTTTGCAGACTTTATCCTAACCCTTAAATTTGTGCCAGTGAAGATCTCTAATATTTCATAAATATGCACCTAGTGTCCAAATAGATGGAAACCGTCCAGTTGACCAACAAAAGTGGACTTTGACTAACTTTGACCAAATTAAAATGGGTAAAATGGTAACTTTGCTTTTATATATATAAAATAATTAAAAACCCAGAAGCAAAATAAAATAAAAAGAGAGAAGAGATAAAAATAAAATATCTTCTTCTTACACCTCACCTACCCCCCAACCCCCAAGAAACAACTCGACGACCACCACTTACTACCTCCGGCCATCACTAGCCACCATCGCAAACCAAAACCAAAAAATCATCTTTCTTATTGTAAACAGATGAATTTTCTTCACTTTCCCCCAACAATGGCGGCTACTAACCTCCTCTCTCAAACCCCTACAATCCATCCCACAAAATCCTTGGTTTCTCATAAAACCCATTTCACCCTTCAAACTCAAGCCTACTTAAAAAATCGCCTCTTTGTGCATACAAGCAGTTCTGTCCCTCATCGAGGCCAAAACCCAAAATCTCTAGCATTGTTTCTTGAAATCTGAAGATGGGTATTTGTATTGTGAGGGAAATAAGGTTCGAGTGGGAGATTCTATGTGTTGGAGAAGTAAAAATTCTAGTGAAGAGTTAGAGAGAAAATGGAAACATAAATTATTTTCCAACCATAGTATTATTCATTTCACAATCTATTCGCATTAGTAATAATAAATTCAATTTCTGAGGTGGTTGTATTGAGACAGCTGCGATGTGATGCTGTTGAGGCAAAAAAATTATACAGCAGGAATTTTAGTGGTGACTTTGGTTGCTCGGGTAGTGGGGTGGGGTGAAGAAGGAGATGAATAGTTTTTTCCTTTTATTATTTTTATTTTGTTTTGATTATTTATTTTAATTGTTTTATAGGGTTAGATAGTAAAGTTACCCTTTTAAATTGGTCAAAGTTCAATTTTATTGGTCAACTAACGATCAAATGTATAGTTTCCATCCATTTCGAACCTAGGTGCATATTTCTGAAACGTTAAGGATCTTCACTTGCACAAATTGAAGATTAGGATAAAGTTTACGATAATTGAAAAGGTTTGGGACCATTGTTGCAATTTTCCCTTATTCTTTTATGCTAGTCATCAGAGTCCTTTTATAAGCTTTTTTGTCCCTTGTCAAAATAATAACTATCCGATGTGAGAATCATTTAGCTCATGTAAAATTATTAATAATTTTTGAGGAGGAACGTTTGGGTCCCACAAAATGTGTGGATAATAAATTAGTAGTCTGAAATTAATGTTTAACTTTGATTTTATAGAAAAAGGGAACTTATAAGTTACTTTTTAGGAAACATGGAAAAATGCTTCTAATCCCAGCAACCTGCTGTCTGCCTATGCATAGTAATACCACCCTTCAATGTATAACAACATCGCATGGTCGTGGAATATAATCATTAATTATAATCTAAAATAGTTTTTTTTGTTTAGAGAAATGGGATTTATTTTTGAGGTGTTTAAACAAGTTACATAACAAAAAGCTTTTACATTTAAATACTTCGAACTTTTGATGTGAACATTGTCATATATTATAAAAAAAATTACATTATATTTGTTTATTTATTTTATTTTTTTCCACCAATTTGAGTCTTGACCCTTTGCCTTTTCCTGGGCATTGGCCCCGGCCAGGTTTGAAAACATTGAGAAATAGTAGAGGTACTTGTATAATAAGAGAGAAGTGACAACCAATTTGTGGTTGATTTTTGTCACTGTAGTATACAAGATCAAATGTAATTGGCTGTGATGTTTCTTTTGTTTTGGGTAAGATGTTGGCGCCCATTGATTCTTCTTGTTTCTTCTTGTAGGATTGGATTGTACAGTATGATCCCCCAGATGACCCTAAGGTGCTGATATCCTTCTAAACGATATCCCGATTTATACTGTTTGAACTCTCCTAAACCTTGTTTTATGTAATTACTTTCAGGAGTATATCCATAGAGTTGGTCGAACTGCGCGTGGGGAAGGTGCAGAAGGGAAGGCCCTTCTTTTCCTTATTCCTGAGGAGTTGCAGTTTCTTCAGTACCTTAAGGTAGACAAGTATTTTCCTGTGAAAGAGCATAATGAAAATATGTTTTCATAGAAATAATTTGGTGTTCTGATCTGGTTACCTTATTTTTCACTAATATTGGTTAAATAATGGAAAAGCTAACTTTAAATTTCGATAATAAGGTAGTTTGCTTCTATTTGGTTGTATCCTGACTAAAAAAAATTCGGGGTAGAATTAAGTTCCTGAGGATTGATCAACTACAAAATTGGGTTGCATATTTCTTGGATAAATTTTTTTGTGAATTTTCACAGCTGTTTAATTTCAGGATGAAAAAGTGCATGTGAAAGAGTATGAATTTGATGATAAGAAGATTGCAAATGTGCAATCCCACCTGGTAAATTCTTGTTTAGAACTGTTTGGTTATATTTATCACTAAAGTAATTTATTTTCCGTCGTTCTCACAAGTTCCTCAGAAGTAAATATTGTTTATTATATGCACTGGTGCAGGAAAAGCTGGTTTCAAACAATTATTACTTGAATAAGTCGGCTAAAGATGGATACAAATCTTACATACAAGCTTACAATTCACATTCTAGGAAGGAAATCTTTAATGTTCACCGACTTGACCTGCAGGTACTTATCTTTGGGGAAATATTGTTTAGCAAAGAAGTATATCTTATAATTATTTTTCAGTAATCAAAATGCGTAAAATTGCAACTTCTTTATATCCCTCAATATGGGGATGTTATTTGAAACTCCCAGGAAGTTATTCGTCCTAACCGATTTTTTATGTTATATAAATAAACATTTTGAAGATAGATCGTAGAATTGGGGATTGATTGTGCAACTATAATGGAAAGGTGAGGATGAACTGGTTATATTTAAAGGTTTTGGGCTAACTTTCTACTGAGGCAATAGGCTTGGGGACAAGCACTAGTACTGCCCTGAGATTCCCACGTCCCTTCCTTGCGTAATCACTTGACGCCAAGTGTATTGCTCCCCAAAGGATGTGGTGTGGTTGTGCGGAGTGTGAAGTGCACTATTGAGGACCAACCATAGTTCGAGTTCTATTAGAATGTCAAATTTTATTATTTCGTATGTCATGATAGTAATCCGTGCTATTTGCAGGCTGTAGCTGCTTCATTCTGTTTATCATCTCCTCCCAAAGTAAACTTGAACATAGACAGTAGCGCATCAAAATTCAGGAAGGTGAAAAGAGTTGAAGGCAGACGAAATGGGTTCAGCGAGAAAAATCCATATGGTAGGAAAGGCGACACGAGACAATCTATCAGATACTAGGATGAGGTAATTTGTAGATACATGATACTTTGCTCGTCAGTTTTGAAATGAGGTTTTTACTTTTGAGCATTTAATTCTTTGAGACTAGAATCCCAATTTTTTTTCAACTGACAGTATCATATTCATTACCATAAAACTAGACAGAACTGCCTGATTTTGTTTTGTTCCTTTTGTTTTATAATACTCTATCTGCATGTTTAATATGCAATATTATGGATTATATTGATTGTAAATAGGTAATAATTTTAACTTTTATTTAGTAGTGGGGTGTTTTGTTTTTTGAAACCAGCTGAAACTAATATTAATTGACATCAACAGTTACAAAGTCTCAGATGAAATTTGGGTATTCCCCCAACTTATCAGATGTCTAGCAAGGACTTGTGCTACAAAATTTGCCTCCTGCCTAACAATGGTGCATTTTAAAGTTGGGAAAGACAAAAAAATATAAGTAGTCGAGTATTCAATACCATCTAATCTATCTTATCGAACATTTTGACCTTGTGGTTTCAATTGCGCGGTTTTCATGCAAGATGCGCCTGTTCTCTTCAATCATTAATTCTTTTAGTTCAGATTTTACAAATTATGGCCTTGCTTGAGCCACATTTTTTGAAAAAAATATATCCTTAAATAGTAATTTGACATTATTTCAATCTCACATTCTTTAATAAACATGCAAATTCATACTTTTTTTATTTTTTATCATACATTTATCATCAATATATTATTGAAAAATGTATTCTTATGAAATGAATGTGGCTCAAGATTAGGTTTTGGGTTTGCTCCTAAATAGTTAGCAGTTCAAGTTTTCTTAAGGCCACTGAGATGAGCACCTAGCTGTAAATTTCAGAGTCATGTGAGATTAGTCGAGATGTGCGTAAGCTGATCCGGACATTCACAATTATCAAAATAATAATAATAATAATAATAATAAATTAATGTGGCTCAAACAACAGCTAGGAGTTAATACCATTAATCGTTTAGAGTAATGACGTTGTCTCATTCTTCAATGCATTTGAACTCACTGGATTCAGGATGATCACAATTATAAATGAATAGCATTAAAACTTCATAAAAGGTTTATGGCAAAACAAGCTGCATAAGCACACTCGATTTCTGGCATGTTAACTAGATAGACTGATAGTATGGATTGACCAAAAAAATTAAAGATAACAATACACCAAATCTTACATAAATTAATGGGCCAACCGTCCAATGCAAAACGGGAAATATACGTAACTATATGTATTTAAAGATGCAATTTCAATTTTAAAAAAAAAAAAAATTTGGTTTTTTATTTTTATTTTTTTGTGGTAAAGAATGAATTTTTGAATAGTAAATTTCAGAAGAATGATGTTGAAAAAAGGAATGATTGTCAAACAATGACTTTTTGTATAAATAATATATGTATGTTAGACGATTAAAGATATTTAAAAAGACTCTTCCTGAGATCAAGGAATTAGTAATAAGCTCCTGTCAAAATAAAGTGGTATTAATTAAATATAATAAGGTCATCATACCATATAATTTATGGTCACAATTATGTACTAGTCTCAATGACATAATTATAGTAAAAAATTACAAATTTTATGAGGCGCAACTTATTTAACAGTTACAAATTATTAAATTAATTGGACTTATTCCTCGATCACATATCACAAATTTTATAGATTACAAGTTATTTTTCGATCACAATTTATTAAATTAATTGATCACGACTTAATTTTTGTCACAAATTTATCAAATTAATTGGTAACAACTTACTTTTCGATCACAAATTACAAATTTTAATGTCATTACGTACTAATCACAATCGTATAACGTTACAGTCACAAATTTATCAAATCAATTAGATACAACTTATTTATCGGTCACAATTTATCAAATTAAGTTGTCACAATTACCCCCCTTAAATGGTTACGAATTGTCCATCTCCCCCATCTCATTTCACTTGTTCCACCACCATTGGCGGCAGCCAAAACACGTCCGCCTGAAATTTACAACCCACCATCAAAACCCATCACTACCACCTCGAAACATACCACCACCACTAAAGTGAATTGTCCAAATGTTCACCGAACTTTGTAAAGAGTTTTCAAGGGGTTATAGAACTTTAAAAATCATTTAAATGATCATTGAACTTTGTAAAATGTTTCTTCAAGGTCACTGAACTTTAAAAATCACCTATATGATCATTGAACATTGAAAAATGTTTGCCAGGGGTCACTAAATTCAGTGATCCCAAAAAAATCTTTTGCAAAATTTAATTACCTCAAGGAAATCTTTTGTAAAATTCAGTGACCATTTAGGTGATTTTAAAAATTCAGTGATCCCGTAGAAACATTTTACAAAGTTCAATGACTATTTAATTAATTTTTAAAGTTTAGTAGCCCCTTAAAAACTTTTTGCAAAATTGAATGCCATTTGGGCAATTTACTCCCACAACCACATTTGAAAAAATATTACGTCAGAGTAAATTAAACTAACTTAGCTTTGTCATACTCAAATTACTATGAGTCTATGACATGATTTTTTCTTTATATATTTCATATATCTATAATTTTTTAAATATTACATCAAGTGAGAATCATTTTCTGGATGATTATATCTTTACTATAATTCAATTATTTTAGTAGTACCTTAATTTTTGCTTTACAATATGTATTTAATTAATTCAATAATACCGTACTTTTATTTTTCAATATGTATTTAGTTTAGTAATCATTTGAACAATTTTTACAATATTATAATTAATTATTTTGTTATAATTAATGTACATTTGACACGGTCTTTACCTTATTTTTCGTTTTTCAATATGTATTTAATTTATTTAACCATATTTAACAAATTCATTACTTTTTTGTTTTTGTTTTTCAATATGTATTTGAATTATTTAATCACTTGAACAATATTATCATGAATTATTTTGTTAATTATTTAATTATGATCAATGTACATTTAACAAAATTGCCTAAAACTTAATAGGTTTGAAAAAATATTACTTCATAGTAAATTAAATTGAGTATCTTTCGAACGATTCTATTCTTACTATAATTCAATTATTCCCTTAATTCTTATTTTTCAAAATGTATTTAATTACTGTACTTTTATTTTTCAGAGTGCAACTCTCGTGTTAGTTGCCATCAATGTCGTTCCCCAACCCCTTCTCATAAATGGACTCCCCTTCCAATTGGGTTTTTTTCTAAATGGAGCTTGAGTACTTCATTTTATGTATTTAATTTATTAATCATTTGAACAATATTATAAATAATTATTTTGTTTTGATGAAAGTACCTTTGACACATTCTTTAACTTATTTTTTATTTTTCAATGTGTATTTAATTTATTTAATTATATTTGACGAATTCATCACATTGTCGTTTTTTAATATGTATGTAATTTATTTAATCATTTAAACAATATTATCATGAATTATTTTGTCAATATTTAATTATGATCAATGTACATTTAACAAAATTGCCTAAAAAAACTTTAACATGTCTGGAAAAATATTACTTCAGGGTAAATTAAATTAAGTTAGCTTTGTCATACTCAAATTGCTATGATATAATTTTTTTTTTCTTTAGATATTCCATTACATTAAATGAGAATCATTTTTTGGACTATTATACCGTTATTATACTTCAATTATTTAAATAGTACCTTAATTTTAGTTTTTCAATATGTATTTAATTATTTCAATAATATCCTACTTTCATTTTTCAATATATATTTAATTTATTAATCATTTGAACAATATTGTCATTAATTATTTTGTCAATTATTTTGTTATAATGAATGTACATTTGATACATTCGTTATCTTACTTTCATTTTTTTAATATATTTTTAATTTATTTAATCATACTTGACAGATTCATCACCTTTTTCGTTTTACAATATGTATTTGATTTATTGAATCATTTGAACAGTATTGTCATGAATTATTTTGTCGATTATATAATTATGATTAGTGTACATTTGACAGATTCATTCCACTTAATTGGATTATAAATTAAATTCATTAAAAAATTTTGGAACAAAAGATGAATAGTTTTATAGTTTTCTTCCAATTAATTTATTCCAATAAATATTAAGATACGGAGAAGCTAAATGGGGAGACATGATGCGTATTTATAATAAATTATTTTAATTGATATATTCAATGCATATTAAGCAAATATAAGAAAATAATGATATTCATAGGGTGTCCAGATCAAAAGGGTAAATGGAGAGACTATTCTAATTGACTTCCTCAACTATTTTAATTGTTTTCACAAACTGATTTTTATTTTATTTGAATCAAAAATTCATTCCACATAAACAATTCATATTAATTATTTTTTTACATTCTTACATCTTACAATATTATTTTTATGGCACGTATAAAACATTTCAGAATATCGTGCAACATACGTTCTACTATGACTAGGAGTCTAGGACTATAAAAAGCCAACAAAATTGCCTGCGTCATTTTATATTGAATCATCCTTTTTGGACATGTCTATACACTAAATTATATACGAATAAACATCTTGCTCTCATCTTTAGTTTTATCTAATTGAACATATTAAGTGTCTGTTTGACATTCATTAATTTATTTTATGATTTGTTAAAAATCATTTTCAACAATACATTCATATAATAAAATATTTTACATGTACTCTAAATTTTTTTCTACTTTTTAACCACACACTCTCTTCAAATACTATTCAAAACTCATTTTTTCCCCTATTAATGAGAATCCATCATGCTCTAAATATGTCTTTTACGTATTATTTTAATTTACTAACTATAACATATTCTATTATTTTCTTTAGAATGACATCCTTTTATTGATAATTCGAAAACTCTCCATTCTTTAAAACTATATCATATCTTCCTCAACATCTACCATACTCCATCGCCCGTTCTCTCCCTGCATTTTCCCGTCTCACCGATTGTGGTAATTTTATGTGAAGACTTCCAATATGAAGTTATGAGTAACTATGAATGATTCAACTTTGTGATTCATGTCAACAAAATCGAGATAAGAGATTCAAGTAGGAAAAGCCTTTTTGTCATACATGTTTACTGGTGTTCCTTAGTCCACCAATTTTATGTTATAAGAGGAAAATGTAATTGTAAATACTACTTGAAGAAGTCAAATTAACATCATGTTGTAATTGATGCTACCACAATGCTTAGAAATAATCTCTCCACCATTTAAACATGCCTTCCACATGTCACACACTAAACTTTCACTCCCCTCCCTTGCTCTTTAACTAATTCTCCTCTCTCAGTCTATTCCTCTCATCCACAAGAAACTAAATTCAACTAAAAACTAGGACTTCCCCCCACTCCCACCCTACTCACAAATTTTACAACCCCGGAAATTACACACTACTCTACCTCCACTATATAAATTACTCCCTACCCACCCTATCTCTTACAAACTACAAACCACTCATCACTGAAAGGTAAGTACCTTTTTTTCTTGTCGCGTAATATTTGATTCACAAAAGGCGTAGCTATCTGGGCACTATCTGAAAGAGAATGTAGGTATTGATAGTTATATGGAAATGGTAGGAAATGTTAGTTGTGGTGAAGAGGAGAAGCAAGAGAGGAGTGGGAGACACTTTTGTAAGGTATGCAATGAGGGATTTAGGTGTGGTGGAGCTCTAGGAGGACACATGAGAGCCCATGTTATTGGAGATATTAATAATGTTGAAGAAGAAAACTCCAGGAATGAGCTGTCTGAAGGCAATTACAAGCATCCGTACTCTCTTCAAGCCAAAACGAGTCGTTATGTGGGTTATCAAGTAAGTGAAGAAGAAAGACACAAGCAGAAGTCGAAAGCAACGATCAAGATGGACAATAACTATGATGATCATGATCGGTATTCGGTTTCAAGTGAAGAAGAAGATCTTGCTAATTGTTTGGTCTTGTTGTCTAACACATCTTGTGCATTGTCTAATAAGAAGGAAATAATAAAGGCTAAACAAGTGGAGATAAAAGGTATGTTCCAATGCAAATCTTGTAAGAAAATCTTCAATTCCCACCAGGCATTAGGAGGACACAGAGCGAGTCACAAAAAGGTGAAAGGTTGTTTCGCTGTAAAATTGGAAAATCCCATTAATAATATTATTGAACAAGATTTGATTGCTGATATGGAAGATGACGAGGTACTGACAACACTAGAATCTCATGATTCGTACTCGAAAAAGACATCTAAGGTACATGAATGTTCAGTATGTCGCAGGGTATTTTCTTCCGGACAAGCCTTAGGAGGGCACAAGAGGTGTCATTGGCTCACCTCAACTTCAGTAGACAATGCTTTCATACCCAGATTCCATAAATTTCAAAATGATCATAGCCAAGAACTCTGCAAGAAACCAGACCTCGCCCCAGCCTCCATTCCCGCCCAACATGATCGCAACTTGTCGTCTCGTGAGAATATTACTGCTGATAACACAATCAGTAAATATGAAGATTCAACAAGATTGTATCAAAAACAATGGGGTAAAGGAAAAGTTTTCAATAGTATTACAAGTCAAAACCAGCATAAAATCCAAGGCACGAATCCAGTTATGATCCCCGATGGTCTGAACAGTGAAAACACAACTGAAATTAAGCTTAATGATTTAAGAGAGATGAATTTGGATGGAGGGTCTTCTAATTGGTTGCAGGTGGGGATTGCTTCAACTGCAAATATATCTTAAGAATGCTACACAAGAAGGGACTCAACTGTGATCAATTTCTCAACGTAAACTTGTAACATTAATTGGAGTTTATGCATTATTTATATGAATAAATAAAATACACTTTCATTGAAGTGTGCTTTTATAGAAATAGACATATTATCATCAATTTATTTATGCATTGATTTTAATATCCTGCCAACATACTCTTATAAATTGCTTTAACACGTAAAACGACCCCATAAACCCCATTTATATTAAAATGTTAGGTAATTTGCAAATGGAAGTCTCAAACTTTATAAAATTGTGCAAAGCGATCCGAAACTTTTTAAGTCATAGCAGCTAGTTCCCAAACCTTTCAATAAATGTGCAGCGACCTTACCTCTAACCGTTTCTATTCAAAAATCCATTATTTGATCAAAAGACAAATGTCTAACATTAATTTGACCAATTTAATTAAAATAATTTGAAAAATGGAAAACTAAAAATTTTAAAATATATATATAATGTGAAATACATTTTCATCTTCCCCTTCCACCCAACTCCCAAGCCACGTTAACAGCCACCACTCATTCCCACTAGAACCACCAACACTCAAATCCAACATCGTCATACCATCTTCACATCTTCTGAACTCTTAGATCCCACCATCATCTACAGAATTAAAGTCCAAAATCAACATAAATAAACACATTAAAGTGGTTAAGGAAGTCAATAAACACATTTGCGGAATGAATTCTTTTATTCAAATTAAATAAAAACCAGTCTATCAAAACAATTTAAATAGTTAAGGAAGTCAATTAGAATGGTTCCTTCATTTACCCCTTTGATCTGAACTGAACATCCAATGAATATCACCCTTTCTTCATAATCACTTAATATGTCCCCCTATTTACCTCGTTGTATCTTAACAGTCTTGAATAAAACAATTAGAAAAAAACTATAAAAATATTCACCTTTTAATTCGATTTTTTTAATAAATTAATTTACCATTCAATCAAATGTAATGAATCTATCTAATGTACAGTGATCATAACTAAATAATTGACAAAATAATTCATGATAATATTGTTCAAATGATTAAATAAATCAAATACATACTGAAAATGAAAAGGCAATGAATCTGCCAAATATGATTAGACAAATTAAATACATATTGAAAAAGAGAAGTGGGGTATGTGTCAAATGTACATTCATTATAACTAAATAGTTGACAAAATAATTAATGATAATATTGTTTAAATGATTCAAATGATTAATAAATTAAATACATATTAAAAAACGCAAAGTAGGTATTATTGAAATAATTAAATACATGCCTTTCTTTGAACCCCATTTTTCATCAAAATATATTTTTAAACAGTAATTTGACATCTTTTCGACTAGGACTGTAAGCAAAAATCGTAAAACTGGAAAATCTAACCAAAATCGCATTTTAGAAACCGTCAGTTTGGTGCCACATGGACCCGGTCAACGAAATGATTTTGAACCAAACCAAACCGATCAAAATGGTTTGATTTACGTTTGAGAATTTTAATTGCGGTTTAAAACCAAACCGGACCGGCAAAAAATATATAAAAATAAAAAAATGAAAAAATGATTTTTTTTTTTTTTTAAATTCATCCAAATATGTAAAATTCAATAGTTGTCATTTGTGGGTATTTTTGTCAATTTCTAATATAATACATATATATATTATTATTACCTAATAATCCTAATTTATATTTAATAATCTCAAAACTAACATAATCTATCAAAAGTTCTTTTCCTCTTCAGAATTCAGATGAACTCCAGCCGACACCCGACACAGTCTTGAGCCATCGGCATCACACACACTTCTTCTTCAATTTTTTTACGCCTCTTCAAAATTGAATTGTAGTCCATTACACAAAATCGGAGAGAAATAGATTGTAAGCATTCGGTAATAATATTTTTTACGAATAAAGTTTCAAATCAATAATTCTTTTGAGCAAATTGAGGTAAGAATCTAAAATTAAATGTGTTTCATAACAACATACAAACGAAAGTTTGTGTAATTGTTCTGTTTAGATATATTATAAACAACTGCTTTATTATTATGGTTGATTATTCTCTTTGTCTAATCAATAACATTTTTTTTCAGATATGATGATCACGAGATCGTGTTGGATTGATTTTTTGGGCCTTATATCTCGTTTAGTAGACTTGTATTGTAACGTTATCATAACGTCATTAACCTAAAAAAGGTGAATAAAAATGAAAAAAACTATGTTTTTGTTTATCGTGATTTCACTTTGATTTAGTAGATATTTAAATTTATAGTAAATATATTTAGCCCCTGTTCGAGCCATATTTTCCATGTTATCATCATGAGAAAATTAACCGTTGGAGAGGATGCTGGGTCCCACACATGAAACAAAAGGTCAACAAATGCGGTTGGACTTATATGATAATGGTCCAAATTTTCATTTTTTTTTTTGACCAAAAAATTTGGTTGAAACAAGGGGTTAGATTGTTTTAGATTTATTGCTAGTAAGATATAAATATATATTGAATTCAATGAATTGATGTAATAAAAGTAGACAGACAAAAAAAATATGACAAAGTCGACGGTATAAAATCGGACCAAAACGTTGGGTTTAGGTTTAAGTATTTTTCAAATCGTTCAAAATGATTTGGTTTAGGTTTGGGTTTTTCTCAAACCGGTTTAAACAATTTGGTTTGAAAATTTGTCAAAAATCGGTAAAATCGGACCACTTAAACCCCCAATTTCAATTACACATTCTTCAATAAAATAACATTACATGCAGATTCAAAAAAAATTCTTATTTTTTAACCACACATTAATGTCATAACACTATTACAAAATGCATTTAAAAAAAAAAGCTCAAACAAGTCTCTTAAAAAATGAAAAGTAAGGTATTATTGAAATAATTGCATTAAATTAATATTATTTAGTTCCATTGGGGTTACAATATGTTTTTGTTTATCGTGATTTCACTTTGATTTAGTAGATATTTAAATTTATAGTAAATATATTTAGCCCCTGTTCGAGCCATATTTTCCATGTTATCATCATGAGAAAATTAACCGTTGGAGAGGATGCTGGGTCCCACACATGAAACAAAAGGTCAACAAATGCGGTTGGACTTATATGATAATGGTCCAAATTTTCATTTTTTTTTTGACCAAAAAATTTGGTTGAAACAAGGGGTTAGATTGTTTTAGATTTATTGCTAGTAAGATATAAATATATATTGAATTCAATGAATTGATGTAATAAAAGTAGACAGACAAAAAAAATATGACAAAGTCGACGGTATAAAATCGGACCAAAACGTTGGGTTTAGGTTTAAGTATTTTTCAAATCGTTCAAAATGATTTGGTTTAGGTTTGGGTTTTTCTCAAACCGGTTTAAACAATTTGGTTTGAAAATTTGTCAAAAATCGGTAAAATCGGACCACTTAAACCCCCAATTTCAATTACACATTCTTCAATAAAATAACATTACATGCAGATTCAAAAAAAATTCTTATTTTTTAACCACACATTAATGTCATAACACTATTACAAAATGCATTTAAAAAAAAAAGCTCAAACAAGTCTCTTAAAAAATGAAAAGTAAGGTATTATTGAAATAATTGAATTAGATTAATATTATTTAGTTCCATTGGGGTTACAACACTAATCTATATGATGCTAATGTGACATTAAATAATAAGTGAAATTAAATAGGTCATTTAATTTAATTTTCCATTTAGCTTATCAGCTAACACTACATAAATTGGAGTTATAACCCCGATGGAGTTAAATAACATTATTCATTGAATTATAGTAAGAATAGAATCATTCAAAAAATATTCTCTTGTGATATTTAATAGTTTATTATTATTGTTCAATGGACTAAAAATAACAAAAGAAATCAAAGCAAAAAAGAGTTACCTAGTTCGGTTAAATTTTCCACACTCTACAAATGCTACACAATTTTGTGCATTACTAGCGTCACAAATTCATGTTGGCAAATCTATGCTCAAACTGTTCATCAATTCTTAGAATCAACGTACACATTGTGATCCAAAAATACCAATTTTATCACTGTTTGTTAAAACATGTCGACAGAAATTTTCGATTAATTCCACGAAGAAATTTCATAACATGGACAAATCTCGTTTCAGGCCTGGCTCAAGGTGTTATTAATCCAGAAACAGTGTTAGCAAGAGCTTCTCTGTTGTACAATTCTGGCTCCAAGCCTAATGCCTATACTCTTGTTCATTTGACCCGTGCTTGTACGACTACTGGTCGATTTTCACGTGGCCAACAGCTACATTCTCACATTCTGAAATCTGGGTTTGATTCTAATGTCTTTGTATCAACAGCTTTGGTGAATTTTTATGCGATGTTTGAGGAATTAAATGATGCCCAAAAATTGTTTGTTGAAATTCCTCAACCAAGTGTCGTTTCCTGGAATTCTTTGATTTCTGGATTTGTTCGTTCAGGTAAGTTCAGAAAAGCATTGAGTTTGTTTGTTCAAATGGAAAAATCTGGTGTTTTAGCAGATTCTTATTCGCTTACAGCCGCTTTATCAGCTTGTGGGCAGCTAAGTTTAGTGCAGTTTGGAAAATCAGTACATTCTAAGATTGTGAAACTTGGTGTTCAACGTAGTATCGTTGTTTCCAATTGCTTGATTGATGTGTATGGAAAATGTGGTTTCCCTGCGGAAGCAATATGGATTTTCGATGATATGGCTGATAAGGACACCATCTCTTGGAATTCCATTCTTGCCGCAAATGCAAGAAATGGGAAGCTTGAATCAGCATTTAGAATTTTTAGCCAAATGCCCAACCCCGATACAATCTCATACAATGAGCTTATCAGCGGCATTGCACAGTTTGGAAACATAGAAGATGGAATTGGTATTTTATCAAGAATGCCAAATCCTAATTCATCTTCATGGAATTCGATAATAACTGGGTTCGTGAACAGAAGTAGAGCCCGAGAAGCTCTTGAATTTTTCAACAAAATGCACTTGAGAGGAGTTAATATGGATGAGTTCACATTTTCAAGTCTTCTGAGTGGCATTGCCAGTTTGTCGGCAATTACATGGGGGTGTTCGATACATTGTTGTACAGTGAAGCGTGGTTTAAATGAAAATGTTATTGTTGGGAGTGCTATAATCGACATGTACTTCAAGTGTGGGCAAGTAAAGGAAGCCGAAGAAATTTTTCATTCTATGTGCAGAATGAATTTAGTTACTTGGAACACCATGATCTCTGGATATGCTCACAATGGTGATTCCAACAAGGTGATTCAGCTATTCGAGCAGTTAAAAACTATCAAGGATTTACATCCAGATGAAATTACGTTTCTTAATGTTCTATCAGCCTGTTGGCACAGCAGGATTCCCTTCGGCATTGCGAACCAATACTTTGAAGCTATGATCAAAGATCATAGGATTAACCCAACACCCGAGCATTGTTCTTGCATGATCAGGCTCATGGGACATGAAGGTGAAGTATACAAGGCGGAAAAGATGATAAATGAACTGGGATTTGAATCTTGCGGATTGGTTTGGAGGACATTGCTTGGGGCGTGTGTTTCTTGTGGGAACATAGAATTGGCTGAGAAGGCAGCGATGAAGGTGATAGAATTGGAACGGGATCAGGAGCTTGTTTATGTAATGATGTCTAATATTTATGCGCATCATGGAAATTGGAAAGATGTTCGTGGCATTAGAGAGCTGATGAAGAAAAGAAAGGTGAGGAAAGTAGCTGGTTTAAGCTGGATTGAAGTTGAAAATTCCCCACCTACATGACATGATGCAATTGGAAATTAACGTTCAGTAGAGAATTTTTTCTTCAGGAGGTCCATCTTGGAAAGGTTAAACTTTGGTGTTATTTGTAGTAAGGTTTATTGAATAATACTGAAAACATTAAGAATTTATTGTCAGGTCCTATTTGGCTTTTTGGCATCATGGATGTCGCATATGCTCCTCAGGGCCACAAGCTTAAGCAGAGGCATCACTCAATTGGATTGTGTTGATATAAAAAAAAATAGCCAGTAGCTAAAATGTGCTAGAACCTTCGAATATTGTCGTTCCCCAGATTGATTGTCTGAGGCAGCATTGGGTTGCCCACGGAGGCCATTCGACGCTCATGTTGGCTGAGCACTATGAATATAATACACATTCATGAGAGGTGTATGTACTATAAAATGTATATTTGACTACTTAACAGGAGAATTCTCCGTTCAGATAATGGCTTGCTTTTTCACATTCAATGTGTAATGTTGTTGATCTATATTCTCAAGAAGTAAGAGCAAGAACCAGGACCAAGTCGCAACAATCACTCTGTGGAAAGTATGAATTCTTCTACTTTTCGTTCGATCCAACCAAATTCCCCTAAGCTAAGGGCTTAAGTAGAGGGAAGAGGGCTTTCTAAGCTAAGAAGAGTTTGGAACAAAACAAACACAACAAAGATGAGGAAATATAGCATCTGCGAATGCTTATCAAATCATGAGTTACTTATCGCTAAATGTGGAACTGAGTATTCGAACTAATCTTCAACAACCCAAATCCCAAGAATAGATTTGCAAATGATAATCGATCAAAAGGTAAAAATTTCAAGGATATGCCCAAATAAATTTCAGTTCAAACTAAAACAAAAATCTCAAAAAGGCAACATTCAGAACATGAATAACAAGGCTATTTCCAGCAATTTAAATGAAACATACAATAATCAAACTCAATTCTACAACTTCAAGCAACTTTTAAGAAATTGAATGTATATGCTGGAATAAATGAAGTAGAACCTCCCCTTTTTTCCGTTCAAATGAAGATAACTCTCTGACAGTCTGCTAACAAAGTCACCTTGGAACTGATAGGCCTAGCTCTAATTCAAGAAACAAAAAGTTCATATAAGAAAACAATACGAGCAAAATACCCACTTGATGATAAATAAAAAAAATCTCTCTTAAGCATTCAATAAAATAAAATCATTGATGCTTAACGATCCCAGTTTATTAACTTTCTCTAAAAACAGCTAAAGTAATCAATAGAAAATCAAAGAAGAGGCTAATTCTGGCAGGTTGATGGTTGATTCATCCTGAGACATGTAGTATAGAGGTAGCATAAATATCCTTGAAATTAACTTCCAAGCAGATGACGGAGCCCATCTTGAAAAAATGTTTCACGTTCCATCAATTTCATCTGGGAAAAAGGAGAACTGTTTGTCACCAGGCTTATCAAACTAATGCATTATGCACAATCGCTCAAGTAGAAATGCTGATACCAAATTCACATGCTTTTGAATCTACTGTTATTGTGTCACCTCTCTCTCTTCCTAGAACATTTTTAAGTGGATATATAAATCCCATTTTGAGATAGAATGAGGGAATTAAAAGTTTGGTGAACTACTTCAGAAGGATTTCTTTTAAAAAATCTACACTAAATTTTAGAAAAAAGGTACAGAAACTTTATAGGTTAAGTTTCATAATGAACTGATTTTGACTAAGCAGACAAATAATTTTTCAGCCGCGCAAATGGTTCCATCAATTCCGCTGCAGAGAATTCTTCTCTCCAGAAATTTGTGTTATTTAGGCACCAAACAAATTCAATGTCAACGAAGAGTATGAAAATTCAACACATTTCCATTAACAAACAAATCTCCAAACACAGTTAGCAGATAGGTCAAAGTTGAAATCGATGACGTGAAAATTAAAAGCTAGGTGTTATATATAAATCGGCAATAAATAAGATCACTGCAGATATTTTATTTGTCCACCAAAATGTAGCCAAGTCCCTTGCGTTAAAAAAATTCTTAAATATAAGATAAGTCATGCATTTATTGTTCTCTGCATCCCCAAAATACGAGTATAAAACTCAGTTTCATAAAATTGTTAACCAAGCTTTAATACATGAGCATAACACAATGAAGCATTACAGAGACCTTGTAAAATTCTGGTATTTCTTTCAAGCATTTGGAAATTCATGTGCCTGCAGGAACCAAATATTCCAGTCAGATAGCTTCAATGCCTTTTACCCCAAAACATATGCCTAAATTGTTCATTAAGGACGTTGATTAGGAGATAGGATAACAACTCCATAACTAAAAATATAAAGCAATTAGGCAACATGAAGTCATGGAGTGTTTCTGAAGTGAAAAACCAGCTTACTCAACAATAAGGTACAGTCATTTCAAAAAGCATTTTGATATCCAGATTGAGGAAATTCAAAACCATAACTTTTAACTTTTCTGGTATATTTGAACTGCATTGGTTAACAGTAATGATTTTAGAAGATTGCAAGTTAATTCTTGTCATCTTAAAATCGGTAATCTCTCTTTTCTCCGCCTAAACACACATTCCAAACTCACAAAAAGTATGTGTCTGTTGAGGTAGTATTGAAAAACCTAGGAAATGAAAAGTGCAATCAGTGACTCTCATGATTAAGCTAGGCTTTCCATGAATCATATAAACATAGACTTACTTGGAATTATGTGTAGATTAAATCTCAGGCAGAACAATTTATCAGGTACAACGTATAAGGAAATCAGAGGTCATGCATGAGAATACAAAGCAGATACATGGCAGTAGCAGTAAGTAGCAACATAACAGGTCTCCTACTGATGACACGGAATTATTCTACAAAAAAAAAAATAAAAGGGATTTCTCTCATGATTAAGCTAGGCTTTCCATGAATCATATAAACATAGACTTACTTGGAATTATGTGTAGATTAAATCTCAGGCAGAACAATTTATCAGGTACAACGTATAAGGAAATCAGAGGTCATGCATGAGAATACAAAGCAGATACATGGCAGTAGCAGTAAGTAGCAACATAACAGGTCTCCTACTGATGACACGGAATTATTCTACAAAAAAAAAAATAAAGGGATTTTCAAGTATAATTTAAGGGCAATATTTTGGTTTCTTTGAGATAAACCACTTGATTATCCTCGAGCTTCCCAAAAATGATTTATATAATTTCAAATACAATTTTATCTTCAGCAGTTTAACCTTAACACTGCCCACAAACTAAATAGTAACAGAACTTGATGCGAAAAATTCACAACTAACATCATAAAGGCACATACTAGAGATCTGGAGAAGTGCAGCAAAGTGTACCCTGAGAAAGAGCCCTGCAACTCCTCGATGATGAGCTCAGGCATGACGTCATCCTAGCCGTAGCAACCACGCTATGCAGCGGCAGCATTGACGCCACGCAGCCCAGCTCTGCCGGACACCTAACAAGAATCCATACATAAAATAAAATCAATCACAGAACAAAATAACAATATCGTAATCTTCACTATAGGGTTAAGTACCTCCAGATTGAAGGGGCGGGTTTTGAAGGCAGAGATGGTTTAGCAAACGACGACGTGTAGGTTCTGGGAAGACAAGAAGGAGAATTTGATTTCTTCAAGATGGATCTAAGAGTTGAAATGGAAGCTTTGTTGATGATTCGGCTGCATTTCGTAGCCATTGCTGACAAGAAAATATGGATGGAGAATGGGAGTGGATCGAGGGCACGGAGTTTTTGTAATGAAACTGGATATTTTGGGCGTGGGGGAGAGTGGAATGGAAAGTAGGGTTTAGGGTTTTCAGTAAATAGATTTTCACATAATTCATAAAGATCTTGTCAAAATGATAAAATTTTAAAAGAATTTGTACATTTATAACTTGAAATCCATTCATATTTATTGAAATCTTTTATTAATAAAATCTTTGTAAATATTAATGAATTCTTGAGAATATTGGGGTGGTCATTTTTCACGGAATTGGATAGAATCCATCGATTCGACTTCGATTCCTCTAATAAATGGGGACGATTTTGGGACCATGAATTGACCACGAACTACTTTTGGTCCAATTCTCAATATTACATCATGAATTAATAGTGAATTTGGTTTTCTCAAATTTCTTTTTTTGTTGGTGCATTACACCAAGATGCACCAAATCTTTGAATACAAAGGCTTTCTGAAAGTCCACTTTGATGGTACACCTAGGGCAGGGGGCCTGACTTCTTAGTCAGATTAAAAGGTGGGGTTTTCCCTGAGTCGCCGAAAGAGTCGTGCTTTAAAGTGGAATTCTTCTACCAGGAGGAAAGGATCATTGGTTTACTATCAAAAGAAAGAAAAAAAAGGCCATAATTCTAAATATAATGCAAACAGCTGATTCTCAAGCAGGGGATTCGTCGAAGCCACTCCGACTAAAAGGAAATGATCGGATTCTGTTTTGGTTCGTGCACTGAACATAGAGAGCGACTAGAGTTCACTTCACATATAGGGGTTGATAAAAGGAAATCCCTATGTTATGGGATGGGCGGCTAAGGATCGGGGAGTAGAAAAGGGTCAAACATCGACAGGGGCTGACTTAGGAGTTCTTCTTGAATGACTTTCTTTCCAAAGCGGTTGAATAGGCATTCCTTCACACATCGCTCTCATTCGCGTCTAGCCTAGCTTGGGATTTCCTTAAGCGAGTTCAAGGAAGTGACGTAAAGGTATGAGACAAGATGCGATCAGGGTTGCGGGAGAAATTTCTACCCTTTGATTAGACCCAAAGCTTGATGACTCCAAATTTTTTTACGCCAAAATTTCACTTTTCAAATATTTCTTCTTTTCTTTGTAGAAAATCCTAATGGGTAATCAAAATTCAAATACGTATTTTATAAATACTTTATAAGTTTATAGTTTTAGTGCAACTCCAATACAAAAAAAAAATGTATTTGAAGAGAATGTGTTGTCAAAAAGTAGAAAAAATTTGGATTTACATACATAATAATTTATTGTATGAATATGAGGTTGAAAATATTTTGTATGAATATGAGGTTGAAAATATTATGTAGAAAAAAGAATTTGAAAATAATGGTTGTCAAACAAGAGTTTAATCTTTTGTAAGAACTCAGATTTTTCGTCGTTTCCAAAGTCGCCGACCATCAAGAATTAAGAATTTTTCCTTAAGGATTGTTGAAGATAATCAGGCTATAAATACTACATGTATTTGTAAACAAATATTCTATATATGTCTATAAGTGATTTCTTATTCTATATTTGTCTATTTTCAGTTTGACAATTAGTTTCATCTTTTACTTTTATAACTTTCAATATAAAGATCAAACCAAACAAGAACATGTTGGTTCTGTTTAGTAGTTCAATATGGAGCCAATGATTTCCCTTTTAAGATTCATACTGCTACTCGATTTGGTTCAATTTCTTCGAAACCAGACCGAACAAGATCACATCCACTCCTAGAGAATACCTAGATTTTAAAGAATTTTATTGAAATTCATCAAAATATCTTGAAAGCACATACATTTTAATAATTTTTAACAAAATCAATTAAAATCTTAATCGGCACAGCTGAATTTAAAAAGACTTTTAAAATCCATTAAAATATCAGTAGAATTAATTTTTCAAAGTTCACCAAAGTTTCTTTTGACAACAATTAGGTTGAACTTCAATTGGTAGCAATTTAAACATTCACTCCTAAATACTTAGATTAGTGAAGTGTAATTGAGGAGTGAAAATAGAAGGGGTAGTAGGCGCCCGTAAAATAGAAATATGCTTCCAAAATAGTCATTAAAAACGCAAGTTACTCTATATTTGCTATGACCTTTACTTTCATGTTGTCAATTTATATTAAGAAAAAATTCCAATCATGAATGAAAATTTAAATCAATCTTGTTGTAGTGTCATAATTCTTGACATAATGTCACATAACACTTTATCATTAACTGTTTAACTACAGTCAACTTTTTCATCAAATCATATGTTGTCACCTCGAATTATGTTACTACATCTATTAAACTTTTTGTGGCAAAATGGCAAAATCCAGTTTCTTTTCGCAGGATCACGAGTACGGATACCTGTCTAAACAGAAAATTAAGAAATATACTATACTAATTGGCTCTTCCATTAAATTTCTCAGTTTCCTTATTGGTGTAACTAAGTTCTTTCTTTAGAAGGGAAATATTATCCTCAGAAAAAGCAGTGCTGCATGCTCGAGATTTTTCTTTTTGGCTTCTACAATGATCTTGAGCTGAAAAGAAATTTATTATTGCTTTCCTGCTTTCACCACCTAGGTGATAAATGATAAGTAAAACCCTTCTTGGAAGCAAGTTAATGAGCTACAGAGGTCAAAGATTATCTTTTGATTGTGCTAGTCAAGTGAGAAGATTGATAAGGTCGTCTTGGTGGTGGAAATCTTCATCTTTATTTACATGGTATTGAATTGAACAAAGGTTTCGAGTTTCAATTCAACGTAAATTGTGCAAATGTCGCGTATTTTACGAAAACATGAATTCTCTAAATGGGAGGGGCATGTAGAAGCTAAGTTTAACTATTGGACTAATAGCATAAAACTCCCCAAAAAAACGTTTTCATGTGCAATATACCCCTTACATATTCAAAATTGCAAAAAACCACCTATTTAAAATCTTTTGTACAAAAAATCACGTATCTTAAAGATCAGTCAGATTTACAAATAATTGAGTCCTAATACAAGTAATGCCAAAATAAGTCAGTAACATTACGAGATGAGGATTCATATATTTATAAATACTTTATTTTCTGTTTTCGATGATTGTTCAACTTTCTATATTATATTACAAGATAAGGATCTATACGCCGTAAATATTCCATTTTCTTTTCTGGATGATAAAGAAAAACCTGACCATCATGGCCACATCTACACCCACACACCCACTTAACATATTAGAGCTGATATAAATTTCCACACATTTTCTACAATTTACTGTACACATTCGGACACAAAAACTCTGAGCATTCACAGACTAATACTATGTGCAACTGCCAGCCACATGAAGACACAGGCTAGAGAAAAAGAAAAGGGAGAGGGGAAGGGGTGTGATGCGGACATCAGTTTCATCAGGCCATTTTATCTTCCATTTATTTTTTAGGCACTATGTTTTATTGGGCTTGTACATGAATTCGGCCAAAGCCCTCAAATTAGGTTTATTATTTTGTTATTCATATGTTTGCAATGGGATTGAAAATCAGTTGATGAATTGATGAAGATGAATGAAATGTTTGGTAAAGTTTTCTCCTCCCCAACCTCTGCTCTTATTCTCTTCTTCTCCAGTCTTCTCCCCCCATTCTCTCCGATTCTCCCCCTTTCTTGTTGCCTATTTCTTCTTAATCATCATCTTATTTTCCGCTGGTTATTGTTCAACTGCTGAAATCCCATTGATCCTACATCAGGGTGGCCTGCAATCTCCCAACAAGCAGTCAGACAAAAATATGACTTAGGTAGGTTGGATATTCTAGCGGATGTAGCAATTAAAAACAAACAGGAAAAAAGGATTCACGGAGGGACACTATCGAGAATAAATCCCAGTTTGGTTTAGTTGTAGATCAAATAAAAAATTCTCATTTCAACTGCCCTCGACTTCTCTTGCCATGAGTAAATGAGGAATGAAACAAACTATAAATAATTTTTCACCAAACTCCGGATCTTGGTTGGCTCTGAGCATTCATACTTGTCGTCTTCCTGCATGAATAATATAAGCTAAGTTGATTCTATTAAAAGATAGCACCATTGGCAAATTCAAAGGAAGAAACCTCATAATGACTTTTCTTGACAATACAATCCAAAAAGTTTATCCTGAAGCTTCATAGAGCAGCTGCCAGAGTATGACTAGAGTTTCTGCCCAATTTCCACTTCATAACTCGAAACTATGAACACATCTCTATGTTTGCAACATGGAAGTGTAGATATGATGTATATTTAAGGAACAAGTTTTGGATTAAAAACAAGGATAGATACACTCGAATAGAGTGTGATTTGTGTTCCTACATGTGGTAAATATTCAGGAGCAGTTTCCTCCCTAATAATGTAGGAGCTGGTATCAGCCATTGCTTCCCAAACATATTGCTTATCTGATCTGGGACCTTTTTTTTGCACTGCCACGTGGAAAAAATAAAGGCCCCAGTGGATTATTAATAAACATGAATCAATTATGCATGCACACAAATCATCACCTTTTCAGCAACCAAAAATGAAGAATAATATCCAACACCAAATTAACCAATGAGGCCATTATCTTCCCCCCAAGGTCCTTGTTTCCCTACTTAGAAAGCTTCATTTGTCAATTTCAAAAGAAATAAAAAAGGCCCTAAGAAGCACGGATACGGATACGTAATTCAGGTACGATACGATACGGATACGCCGATACGACTTTTTGAAAAACTTAGGATACGCCGATATATGTTATAAAATTCAACATAAATTTATTAATATTAAAAAACATTAATATAGAAGCGTGATAATGAAAATAAATAAAATACCAAAACACTTTATCTTAATCATTAATTGTAGAAACTTCATTTCCTTCAACATCAACAACAATATCTTCATTATTATTAAAAATAAAAATCTTCATCTCTGGCTCATCTAATGATAGATTAGTAATCTCAAGGAGTAACACCTTCAAGAGTATCAAAAAAGTTTCAAGTAGTGTCCCACATTTAGGATTCTCCTTTTGAATAGAGATCTAATCCTTTTATAAAAGGCGCAAATTGCTACGAATGAAAACCAATTCTTCAACTCGTTGTGGAGTTATTTTATTCCTTCTCATAGAGTGTACAAAAGAGTATGGCACTAGATGAAGAAAAAGGTTGCACAAGAAGTTTCAAAGCAGTATTTTGTAGTGAATGTGCATGTTAATCATGAAGTATCGGCTACATATCAAAAATCATACAAAAAATATAAAATAATTAAAAAATACGTATGGGATACGTATCGGATATGTAAAAAATATAAAAATATATAAAATAATTAAAAAACAAGTATCCGGTACGTATCGAAGTGTATCAGAGAGTATTGACGTATCGGATACGGGTACGTAACAAGTTTACAAGTATCGGTGCTTCTTAGAAAGGCCTATCAAGCTGTTTGCCAAACTGCGAAGTCTAAGTATGATAAATCTAGATAAATATGGTGGATATGATATTGATAGTAATAGATACCTTCAAAGCCTTTAAGAATTTAGAAGTGCCACTCTGAGCAATAGTTCCAAGGCAGTCTATAAGCTCATCTTTTGTCATTCCAATACCAGTATCCCTGCAAACACGGAAAAACTAAGCAACTTTATAAACTACTTCGAATGGAAACAATATTAAGGCACCCACGTCATGGTGATGGTCCCATTTTCTGGATCAAAATTTATACGAATCTCTAGCTCACCAGCACCTCCAAGTAAGGCGGGCTCAGTCACACTCAAAAACCTCAATTTATCAAGAGCATCACTTGCATTACTGCACATAAAAAATAAGTCACATAAAAAATATCCTTACTATAAAAACCCAAAATATGAGAAATAATCCTAGTTGGAACCAAAAATTTGACATTTTTCAATCAAACAACAAACTAAAGTAAAATTAAAAATTAAAAAGATAATTAAAAAAATAATAAGAGAGAGCACCTCACAAGCTCACTAAGAAAAACTCCTTGTGGCTGTATGAACTCTGAACTATTGAGTCCAACAATTGACTAACCTGAAATCAATCAATAAATAAAAAATAAAAATTTCAATCAAACAACGATCTAAAGTAAAAAAAATAGTAAATACTGTCGGTGCCTTCATCAAGGGTACCATTAATTTGTTTTAATTGGTCGGTGGCTGTGGAGGAGAACGGCGTACCCACTGACATTTTCCCTTCCCTCATCTCTCTCGAGGGTGTTTGTGCCTGTAGTGTGAACAATTAACGATAACATTGCCTTGAGTGTTAGACATTCTCCGCTGCATTAAGACCAACACTGAGAGCCACCAATAATAAGAATCACAAAATATCACTCCAATGGTTTCAACCTGGATAAAAGCCACATTTGATCATCAATGCGTACAATTGAAATTTGGAACTAAAATCACCAATTTGGTCTAATGAACGAAGCATAACCGAACAAATTTGTCGGTCTAGGGAAATGCCATCAACTAACATCACTCGAAGAAAAAGCTTTGCATCATCTACTAAATCTCTTTTGCAAAGTCTATTGATCACAGCGCTGTAATCTTTGATAGAAATTTCAAACCCCAAGTCGTTCATTTGATTGAAGAGAACCATTGCCTTCCGAACATCACCCTTCGCACAATGTGCTTTTATTAAAGTACTATAGGCAACTTTTGACAATCTGACATTTTGGTCTTTGAGAGAAGAAAAGAGTTCATCAGCATCCTTTAGGTCTCCATAAACACATAAACCATTAATGAGAATGTTATATGTTATATAATTAGGCTGAAGATTATGTTGTAACATCTTGTTATGTAATTCAAATGCTCTTTCTAGGTACCGAGCTTTACAAAAACACTGAATGAGAGCATTATAAGAAGTTTGATCTGGAGACATACCCATAGCTATCATTTTCTTGAGAACCTGGATAGATTCTTTCAGCTTCCCTTGCCTGCATAGCCCTTTCATAACCACAGTGTAAGTTACTCGATTTGCATGCACAGAACTTGCTTCCATTTCCTCAAACAACTCAAATGTGGCATCTAAATTTCCCTCTTCACAAAATGCATTCATGAGGGTAGTATAAGTAACAACAGTAGGCGTCAAACCCTGCATCTTGATGTTATTTAACCAGTTCCTAGCATCAGCAAGTTTCCCGGTTTTGCAGAACCCATATATTAGGGAATTGAATGTGACTATAGTAGGACTAATACCTTTCAACATTGCAATTTTATATAACCGTATTGCCTCTCCAATATTACCAAGTTTGGCATATTTATTAATCATAATGTTGTACAAGACAATATCCTCCACCAAGTTACTATTTGCCACTTTATCAAAATAACTTCTTGCCTCTAATACTCCCCCTTTCTCGCATAGTCTTGATAGAGTAGATCGATTTTGAACATAATCTGTGGTGATTTTCTTCGGACACATCTCCTTATAAAGCTGGACAGCCTTTTGTACTTCTCCCATCTTGCAAAGACCATTAATGATGATAGAATACATCACGTGATCTGGTATTAAACTAGCATTTTCCATCTCACTAAGAAATCTCAGAGCTTCATCCATACGTCCATTCTTGCACAAACTGCTAAGCAACACACTATATGAGATACTACTAAGCTGAAGCCCCCTAGAAAGCATCTCCTCTCGCAACCTAAAACCTTCTTCAACATTGCCCGTGTGCCAATGCCTACAAATGAGTATTGTATATGTGATAAGATCAATGTTTAATCCTCTACGTAGCATCCCATTAGTAACCTTCCCGGCATCATCCATCATACCAAGTAGACGAAACCCTTTGGCTATAATGTTGAAAGTTACTTGATCAGGCCCCAATCCATGTTTCTCCATGTCATTTGTAAAGTCTAATGCTTCTTCTATTGAACCCACCATACATAGTCCATGAATGAGAATATTGTAACTATAAACGTCAGGAAATAATCCATACTTAAACATCATACAAAAGAATGATTTTGCAATATCTACAAAACCCATCTTACAGAATCCGGAAATCAAAGTATTAAACAAAACAACAGAAGGCTGGGGCTCTTTTTCTTTAGTCTCCTGCAGAAATAAAACTGCTTCATGTATCAAGGACTGTCTGCATAGACCATCTAGGATAATCGCATTTGTGTATTCACTTGGACGAATCCCACAGGCTTTAATTTCAGTGTATACATCCCACATGATATCAGTATTCTTCAAGTTGTGCAATAAACTATTGTATGTCATAATTGAAGGCTGGATATCCAAATCCTTCATCTTGGCAAGGACAAAAAGGGCATCATGTACCATGTTGGATCTAGAATAAACAAAAGCCAACATATCCCACACCATATGATTCGAATCCCAGCCCCTGAAGGCATTACAAAGCAGCTCACAGAGTGAAGGTGCAGATCCAGAGCCTGATAAAAATCATAATAAATACATGAAACGAAAACAAACAATGTAAAAGGTTCTCCAAGTCAATTGGAAATGATTTTGTTGCATAATCAGCTAGAATTAAGAAAAGTCAAATATGCATGCCTAGATTGTGTAAAAAAAAAAACTCCAAATTTAATTAAATAATAGAAAAGCATCTTGAGTCGTAAAATTACATTTGATGAGACCTTAGAGTCCTAACTCCTAAGTCATAACTCGGTGATGTTCAAAATTTGTTATTTCAAATTTTCTTTAATATTGTCGATATAATTCCAACTTGATTCTAGATGGATCAGCCACGTATTAATTCTATTTTTCCTGATAGAGAGGAAAAAGCAACGTAATCAGAAAAAACAAGGTGGATTCTGTAACTTACAACGTTTCCAAAGAAAAAGTGGCAGGAAAATATATAAACATAGAGCCTTAACTATTTGCCAATGAGATCTTAGAATCAACTCCTTTACTCACTTTCAGAACTCATCAAGATGTTTCCAATTTCACCCGAAAAAATAAAAATAAAAAAGCAATTTTTTTCTCTAAACACGCAATAAAATAATTCCATACCCCAACTGCTTGCTAAACTAATATAAATAGATTTCTACTTAAAAGACGAAGAGTATAAAAATTCCAGCTTAATGGAAACAAAACAATTCATATTGTTGTACTCAATTCCTTCATTCACACATCTTCCCAGTTAAAAACTTAAAATTCATGTAAACGTAGCCCAATTTAAAATAAATAAATAAATAAATAAATAAAAATCTAAAATCTTCTACATTTTGCCAATTCATTTGCAGTACACAGTGTTTTTTCCGAGGTGAATATCTATATCGTACAATTCTCATGTCAGAAACATCAAGTGTCGCAAGTACCATGGTGGGAGAGAAGTAAAAATGAAAACTTTTGAACAAACAACTACAATTATAAATGAAAATTTTACAATTATAAATTATTCATATCCCTGTTTAGAACTACACAAGCAGAATTCAGAACTCAAACCAGCATTTTGAAGAGGGAAAAAAAAAATTTGAAAATGAAGAAGGGGAAGAATCTAATTCTGTTCAGTTCAGCAAGCTCATGCAATTTAAAGACTATATTAATTAACTTTCCATCAATCAAAACTTACCGTCTTCTAGAAGCACTTGGTGCAGATGACTCTGCAACGCACAGGGACGCTGGTTCCGTGCCAAAATATGGGCAATAACAAACTGCGAAACCCGCAAATGCTTCACTCCTAGCTCGTTCTGCAACAACAAGAAAAACTTGATTGCATTTTCCGCACTCTCGACGCAAAGTTTATTGATGATTGGACCGATTTCTTCAGATTCCATCTTAGAAGCTACATATTCAAACCAATTATCACCATGAAGCGTGTTGAAATTGACTTTAATGTTATTGTTACTACAAGAGTTCAAGTGAGTGGATATTTGGGAAACGGCTTCTTCTGCTGGGTTATCCGCTACAGTGGCTACAGTGGAGAAAATTTTTTGGCATTTGATAAAGAAGAACGATATTAAAATACGTGGCCGTTCCTTGGGTAATCAAACACTGATCATTGTGAGATAGAAACGGGAAATCCTCTTTCTAAGGTTTAAGAAAAACGTTAAGAGTGTCTAACAGGGTATATTAATTTTGGAAATTTTGCACTTTTTCATCCCTTAATTTTTGTAAAATGTAATAAATTTCCACTCAACCTTGTTTTTAACATAATTCATCTACAAACTTTCAATGATGTAACCAAATTCGTTACTCTCTTCATTTTGACTATTCAACAATGATTTTGTCCTTCTCTTTAAATAAACAAAAATAGAAGATAACAGTAAAATAATAAATCATAATGCTAAGCACAACCCTAAATAGAGAAATTTATGTTTTTCTAATATATATTTCTTGTTCCATTTTTAAATCCCTAGTTAGAGAAAATATTAATGACATATAGCCCCTGCTCTATTTTGTTAAAAAATAGAATTTTAGTAGATTTTGATAAAAGTTGATAAAATACATATTATTGAAAAATTGTAAATCCCATCAAAAATAATTCAAAATAAGTTTAAGAAAATGAGGATCAAACCAGGCATAATGTTTCCCCATTAGATTACTAATTTGAACATGAAGAAAGATTAAGAAGTGAGTTTTAAGAAAATGATGATCAAACAGGGCATAATGTTTCCGCATTAGATTACTATTTTCAACAAGTGATTAGGAAATAACCATTGGTAATGCTGGTTGGGGTGTTAACTCAAGCGAAAGAGATAGGCTGCAGGCCAACTTTACAAACCACAAACCTTTACTTGAGCATCGTGGCCCCAGGGCTTGAAATCATCTTGTTGTTTCACTATTTTCCTAACTTGGTGCAATTCCTGTTTCTTCATGAAAATATTGACCTTCTTTCTTAGTCTCTCCTGTTCCTTCACTGCAGGATCAGGTTGTTCAGAACTTTTATTTACTGCATTCTTCCTCTTGGTCTTCTCTATAAACCTGAGTATTCTGGCCTGATTAAGAAAGATAGTAATAATTATTGAACTCTCATCCACAAATAAGCAGTTAGAATAAGAGAAAATTTAATTACAGAAATGGAAATTTCATAGCCATATATAATGGCTCTTATGCAAGAAACAAAAAGCATAGAATTTATTATAGCAGGTACGTCATCATTATGACTTAAGATTCAATCTAAACATGTAGTGGAGCTTAAATAAATAAAAAGTGAACATAATATTTTCTAGCCCAAAAGTGGACTTCACTTGGAAATACGAACCTCAGAACACAATCTCCCATACTAAGATGCATGGAATTGTCCTAACTTCCATTTAAAATCCACCATGTTAAAAACAATTACTTTATGAGGGAAGTAAAATCTCAAAACCTCGTCCCTCAATCCTGTCTATGACCCATAGAATATGAGATCACCTCATCTTAGTGGTCATTTGTGAACAGTCAGACAGCAAGTTTGGTCTCACCCCCAAAGCAGGGCAAAACATCTCAGCCAAGACATCGGAACCCAGGGATAGCTAATACCTCTATAGCACGGACACTTCAACTAGGATAGCATGTTCATATCCAATACTCCTCGAACACTCTGCCATAAATATTTCTTTTTTATTAAAAATATTATATGTTTTAACTCAAAATTATTAGTAAACAATAAATATGTACTTACATTTAAAAGATTTCAACAAGAAAAATCAATAACAAGTACAAAACTAAATTTATACTATATAAATAAAAAAATTTAAAGAATTTAATCAACGTGCAAAGACACATCATGTCAGCACCTTTTTGAAAAATCGCGTGTCGACGTATCCAACACGTATCGTGTCAAACATATGTGTTCATAGCGGTGCATCATAGGCTAATAATGGTCAATCTTTCCAGCTTTCCATTTTTTAAAATTAGTAACCATTAGTGAATTACAGGGAATTCCTTTCAAGTTTCTAATCCACTATTTTGAGATAATCTTGACAGTGAGACAAATGTAGAAAATCGTTTCTGTTGAAAGAGGAAAAGAAATAGTGAATTATGTATTCCTTGATGATTCTTACACTGGTATAACATTCAATTTATAATACAAGGGTGAGGAAAAATTGGAATATAATCTTCTAAATAAAGTAACAAACTATTACAAAAACTATTTCCTAACTAGTAATCAATTATACCATTACAACTAATAACAAGAATCCCATAATTTTGAGATTTCTTCACTCATCCTCAAGCTGGATAGTAAATGTTAATCACGTCCAACTTGCTGATGAAATTATCAAAATTATGGCGATATAGTCCTTTTGTGAATGCATATTCAATTTGTTCTTTGGTACGGATGTAGGTTATATAAATAGTTCCATCTTCAACTTTCTCCTTGATGAAGTGCATATCCACATCTATGTTTTTAGTTTGATCATGTTGCACTGGATTGAAGGAAATATTAATAGTTGATTTGTTATCACAATAGAATTTGATTGGAAATTTTACAGTAACTTGTATTTCTTCCAAGAACTTCTTTAACCAAGGTCCTTCACAAATCCTTTGCGAAACTGCTCTAAATTCTGCTTCAACACTGTTTCTAGCTACAACATTCTGTTTCTTACTTCTCCAAATCACTAAATTTTCCCACACGAATGCACAATAGCCAATAGTTGATTTCCTATCTTCTATTGATCCAGGCCAAGCATCAGCGAATATTTCTACTTCCCTCTTTTCACCCTTTTATGACAAAAGTCCTTTCTCAGAAGAACCTTTTGAGGCATTTCAGAATCTTGTATACTGCTTCCAGATGAGCTTCATTTAGAGAATGCATATGTTAACTTACCATAATAACCACAAATGCAATGTCAAGTCTAGTGTGCGATAGGTAGATTAGTTTTCCAACTAATTAATGATATCTATCCTTCTTAACAGATTTTTCTATGTTATCTGCCTCTCTTCTAGCATCTATAGGAGTGTAACTTGGTTTATATCCAAGCATATCAGTTTCAATTAAGAGGTCTAGAACATAATTTCGTTGTGAAACACTGATATCCTATTTTGATTGGCCATTCGCAGAAAATACAACATTTGTCCCAAATCTTTTACTTCAAACTGAGGCTAGACCCTTTTTGTCTCTCTATATCGATTGTGTTGCTTCCAGTGTGGATTGTGTCGTCAACGTATACGATCAGAATAGTCTTTATCCCATCTTCAAATAGTTTAAAGAACATAGCGTATTCTGACAGACCTTGTCAATATCCCTAACTATTCAATACTTTTGTAAATGTATCAAAACATGCTCTCGGTCATTGATTGAGGTGGTATAAGGACTTTTTGAGTTTACATTCCTTGTTTTCTTCAAATTTTTTTTTTTTTTTTTTTTTTTTTTTTTTTTAGAAATCTGGTCATAGTGTCATGAAGAGCTCTTCTTTTGACTCCTCATTCAGGAATGCATTCTTAATGTCAAGTTGTTGTAATGGCAAATCCATATTTGCTGCTAGTGATTACAGGACATGAAATGTATTCAATTTGCAACAGATACAGAAGTTTATGTATAATCTATGACATAGGTCTGAGTATGTCCCTTAGCAACTTGACAAATTTTGTACCGTTCTATTGTTCCATCTGCTTTATATTTCACATTAAAATCTCATTTGCAGCCAAAAAGTCTTTCCTTTAGGTAGCTCCATCACATCTCAAATTTCATTAGTATCTAAGGCTCTCATTTCTTTCATTACTGCTTCTTTCCACTTGGGAATTTCCGAGGTTTCCTGAATATTTCTTGGAATTTCTGCAATATCAAGGTTAGAGACAAAAGTACAAAATCTTGTGGATAAAGCATTATACACTATGAATTTTGAGATAGGGCGAAGAATACATGACCTAGTTTATTTCCTGAGAGCAACAAGAAGATCGGCATTGGAGGGCTCAGGCGAGGTTTCATGAAGATTTGGAGCCATCATCGGTTCCGACTCTCTTGGTACTTCGAGTGTGAGATCTTTCTTATACCTTGATTTTGACTTTTTAAAGTAAATTAATATCTCTTTATCATGTTCTTTCTCATCTCCCCCTAAGTTCAAGTTGTCTTTTGTAGATAGCATGTTAGAACAAGGACGTGTTGTAGGTTCGGCGTTTGGGATAGATTCAGAAAGAGAGAGCGATTTCCAAGAATCGATTTTTACATAGATTCTCCATCTGAAGAGAAATTCTTTAGAAATAAGGAGTTTTCTCAAACATGGTGACATCAAGACTAACAAACACATTTTTTATGATTGGATCATAACATTTATATCCCTTCTATGTGGGTGAGTATTCGATAAATACACACTGAAGTACACAAGGTCAATTTTATTTCTATGATCGGACTATATGTGAACAAAGGCTGTACTTCCAAACACTTTTGAGGTAAGTTGGAGTTAAAAGAAGAGTTACGGTCTTACAGAAGAATTTTGAGGAATTTCTGGAGAAGATAATCGAATTTGAGGGTACAACTAAACATTCTGTTTATGAGGTAGACTGATGTTAAAATGACATCCCCCATATTGTCTTTGGCATATTTGTAGTAAATATTAAGGCATGAGCAACTTCAAGGAGATGTTTATTTTTCGTTCAGCAATCCCATTTTGTTGAAGATTGTCGACACATGAGCTTTGTTAGGTCATCCCATTTTCTTGAAGATAGTTTTTTAGAGTGTTGAACTATTCTGTGTCGTTATATGTGCACAAAATTTGAATGTGTCTGGAATTGGGATTGGACCATTGAATGAAAATTGATAAACACTGAACGGACATCTTTTTTCTTTTAGCATATAGACCCAACAAATTCGGGTATGATCATCGATAAACGTAACAAACCATTTTCTGTGGGTGTGATTAGCAATTCGTGAAGGTCCCCATTAGTCACTATGAATTGTGGTAAATGGTTTGGAAGGTTTGTATGTGAATTTTGGGAATGGAGAACGTTGATATTTTGCAAGTTCACAAATCTCACAACCATGATCAAAATGTTTTTTATTCAGAAATATGAAGGAAATACATGTCTTAAATATTGAAAGATTGGATGACCCATTCTATAATACCATAAAAGAATGTCACTATCCTTAGGGACAATCGCAAAATCACAACTAGCAAATTGACGTTATTTACTCAAATCAGTTTCGTCAAAATAGTAGAGTCCCTCACACTTTTTAGCAATGCCAATCGTCTTCCCCGATGATAGGTCCTAAAAGACAGTGAGAAGGGGAAAAAAAATTAGTAGAACAATTTGAATCTTTCGTTAATTAACTAATGGACAACAGATTACAAGACAAGTTCGGGACATGGAGAACATGTTCGAGTGTTATTGAATTAGAGATCCGAATACTCCCTTTTTTCAGCTACTGGAGAGAGTATGCCGTTTGCAATTTTGACTTTAAGATTACCAACGCACAGTGAATACGTAAAAAACAGATAGTGGGAGTCCATCATATGATCGAAAGCACTGGAGCCTATAATCCATGGTACTTCGGAGAGTGTGTTGGTGTATAGATCTCTCAGGTAATTTTATGGGCCAATGAGCTTCATGGTTGATGGGCCAGATATTTGGAAATTGGAGAACATTTTGTAAAGCGAATCATCTGTTCAGGATTGAATGCACCACTCAGAGTAGAATTTTTTTCTTCGGTGGAATCAAGTGCCGCTTGGTAGCCGTGATTTCTAGCGTTCTATCTTGGTTTCCAATCTGTTGGTTTCGCATAAATTCCAACACGTATCTTCTTTGTATCCAGATTTTCAGCAATGGTCACATCATGGGCGGCCTTTCTGTTGTTTTTGTCCAAGTCTATTTTTGTTGCTCCTCTAAATAATTGGGTTGCCCATTAGGCCCAACAATTTTGGGCTCATTAAAATATTTTTTAGCGTTGGCAGCCATTCCTTCAGGCATACCATAAAATCCATCAAGCCTAATTGTATTACTTAAAAAGGCCGACCCATCCAAACTTGCAGGCCCAATTTCTTTCTTCAACTTTGTCTGGAGACAAATTTTCACTTGTCCATTCTCTGCGAACACTTCACGTGAAGATGGCAACGGTCGACGCCCAAGAATCTAGCCTCTGAAGTCATCTAATTCTCTAATCAATCCAGCCAAAATTTCATGTACTCTTTCATTCTCCAGACACTTTTTGTACCGCACACTGTCACCAGCACAATCCCACTCTTCTTCGACGCTCAAGTCCAATTCTTGCCAGAGGCTCATCATCTCCATGTAATAATTGACGATCTCTCTTTCCCTCTGCTTCGTCTGCCATAATTTGGCTTTAATTTCGAAAATTTGGGATGAGTCTACAGCGTCGAAATACTTATCTCGAGCAACTTCCCATATGTCTTTCGAGATGGGCATTACCAGATAAGTTTTACCGATTGAGGGTTTTATGGAGTTTATAAGCCAAGGCATCACCTTAGAATTTTCAGATTTCCATTTCTTTTGGAGGTTTGCATCTGTAGGCTGCTTCGTGTCACGTGTAAGATATCCAATTTTACCCTTCCCGTCAATCACCAATTTAATTAATTGGGCCCACTCTCTGTAATTTCTTCCATTGAACTTTTTTCACCTTAAGTTAAAAGGATGAAGTGGTGGGAGCAGTTTTTGTCTCGTTAGTCACGGACTCAAAAGTCATTGAATCTTTGCTATTGACCACGTTTTTCCGCCATTGATGGCCGAGTTTAGAGAAACTTGGGCTCTGATATCATGTACAAAGAGGAAGAGAAATAGTGAATTCTTTATTCCTTGAAGATTCTTACACTGGTAAACATTCATCCCCCCATTTGATTCTCATTATAATAAGAACGAGAATGAAAAATATAGTCGTTACGGGACCCACACAAGAGAAAGGAAATCAAATATGGTGGCTTGATGTGATGGATAACGATCATATTTTTCATTTTTGAGACCAAAAGAATAGGAAACAAATGGGGCCTCAATATATAATACAACAAGAGAGGGGCAAGGGAATATAATCTTCTAAATAACCAAACAAACTTATAAAAAAATATTTCCTAAATAGTAATAATCCCATAATTCCGGGGTTTCTTCAGTTTCTAATCTACAAAGTTTACAATAGTTGAACTTATCATGTAAAACTAAAAGCTTAAGCTATTAGAGATGGGAAAAATTTATTTAGTTAAATTTTGTTTCATGCCCCTTCCATGTAGACTGAATATGTTTTCATCACATGCGTGACATTTGCACATTTTTTGTTATATTGTAACTCAAAACCTTTGGTCACTTCAATACCATGCTAGATAAAGATGAAGTTTTCCACCAATAAGAAGACCGTATCAATCTTCTCACCAAGAAAAGCAAAATCAAAAAATGATCTTTGACCTTTATAGAGAATTAACTTGCTTCCAAGAAGGGTGTCACTTATCACCAAGGTGGCGAAAGCAGGAAAGCCAATTAATAATTTTTTTCTTTCTGCTCAAGCTCATTGTAGAAGCTAGAAAAGAATTCTCGAGTATGCAGCACTACTTTTTCAGAGGATAATGTTTCCCTTCTAAAGCAAGAATTTAATTAAAAATAATAACGAAACTAAGAAATTTTAATGAAGAGCCAATTAGCATAATATATTTTTTGATATTCTATTTCACAAAGATCCATACTTCTTATTCTAGGAAAAGAAATTTAAAAAATAAGCCTAATCATCATTTAAATTTAAGTCCTCATCGATCAATGTTCAACTTCATACATGTCAGAAATAATTCCAACATTAAGGTGAATAAAATTCAAAACTATGTGACAGAAAACTGAAATGAACACTCGAGAAGCCAAACCTCTTGCTCAATGGCTTCGCCAATACGACATGCAGCTTGCACTACCCTAGCACTGCCATTGCCTCCACCAGTCATTAACGGCGCCATCGACTTATGTATAGCAATAACTGCCATCATAACTGCAGGCAAGAGATCAAAATGTGGAGTATAAGCATTTCGGTGTTTCCCTTCCTTGCTGACTTTTGAGTTAGAAGGCACAATCAAAATTGCACAAAAGTTGTGGAGGAAAAAAAAAATCAGAAATGCAATTGGTGTAAATCATCACATCACAAACAAAATAATAATATAAATTAAATACCAAACTTCACATCTTCCTAATAGAACACGCACACAGGCACAAAAGCAACAAATACAATTCAAGTTCAACAACCCCAACAATACCTTGAACTAAACAAAAACAGAGGTAAATACTAATGAATAATTCCTCACGTCCAACAATACTTTAAACAAAAATAATGCAAGTTAAACAAATATCATAAAGAAGCTAAACAAGTTCAAACTTAAACAAAGGAAGTTCAACATCCCCAACAATCAATTCAAAATTAAGCATAAGATTTCACAATTGCCTAATATGTTGCCCCTATTTTGAAATTTTTTATGAAGTCCCCAAATTAAATCTCATAAATCAAAAATCACAAATAAATCTCAAATCCAAATCCAAGTGTAATTTTTGTTACGGCCCTATTATTGCAATAAACCTCAATTTTGATTACTTCATTTCTCTTCCCGTTCGATACTGAGAATTTAAGTTAATGTATAACTGCATTTTGGTATTCAAACAATACAACTACTACAACAACAACAACAACACCACCAATAATAATAATAATACAATTCAATCGATCACTTTCTTGGTAACAAATTTGAAATTTGATTTTTATTGCAATTTTTGTTATGTTACTTACCTTTTCTTAACAATTCTTGTTTTGGTAATGTGCCAATATTAATCACTGAAATTATTTGATAATGATGATTAGTTCAGTCTTGCTGTAGGTGTTCAAGGAGGGAGCGATAGGAAAGAATGTGAATATAATTGCAGAGAGTGGGCCAATTGCTGTGCCGCTAGTGGTTGAGGCTGCCAAAAGGTACTTAAGAATAACTCCTCCCATCCAAAATACCTTAAACAAGAACAATTCAAGTTAAACGAATATCACAAGGAAGCTAAAAAATTCAAACTTTAAACTGAAAAGAGGAAGTTCAGCAACCCCAACTATCAATTAAAAATTAACATAAGGATCTCACAGTTGCCTAATAACGCTGCCCCTATTTTGAATTTTTGGTGAATCCCAAAGTAAATCTAACAAATTAAAAATCACAAATCTGAAATCAAAAGTGCAGAATTCAGGATTGGAACTGGCGGACTGAAACTTGAAATCTGAAATAAGTCTCGTAAAAAGACTGACCTTTGGGTTAGGGTTTGAAATTTGAAGAATGAAGCGGTCGCGCCATGGTCAGACTGGTGGAGGCGGGTGACGGTCCGACGAAGCCAGGAGATTGGAGCAGTAAATGCGTCTGATTTTCGCCCAGACTGACGCCCAGTGGCTGTCTAGGTAGAAGGGTTTTGCAAATGCAATGGCTCTCAGCTAGCAGGGGTTATGGGTTTGGTAGAAGGGTTTTATTTTTAATTATTTATTTAAAATTTATTTCTACATTTTTTAAAATTTGGAAGATTAGTTGTAATTTATTTTTTTATTTTTCTTTTGCTTATATTTTTTCTTTAAATAGTAATATTATATTTGTCATTTTACAACTTTTAATTGAGAAAGTTGGTGAAAATGATGATTTTTGAAATGTAATGTGAAAATAATGGTGAAAATACTAAAAAATGAAAAGTATTGACATTTTACACAATAATAGCGAGATGTATGGCGTTTTATGCTAATTACCCTTTATTAATTTATTTGGCTCATTTGTAGCTTTTTTTTAAAAATTTAGGGAATATAATTGCAATTTATTTTTTAATTTTTCTTTTCTTTTCTTTTTTATTTTATTTAAATAGGAGAGTATATTTTTTTTATATATATTTAATGAGAAATTAGATGAAGATGACATTTTCCACAATAAAAGGTGAAAATGTCGAAAAATGAAAAGTAATGACATTTTGCACAATAATATTAAAACGTAAGAACGTTTTGCGCCGATTACCCGTAATTCTAATCCTTTTTTAGAGCGAAAATACCAAAAATGAAAAGTAATGATGTTTTGCACAACAACATTGACGCGTAAGGACATTTTATGCTAATTATCCGTAATTCTAATCTTATTTTTAATTGTGATAAATGAAATCATTAATTGAACACGAATCTTATTCCATAAAATACAACCTATTCTTACGTAAAAGGGTACTTTTTTATACCAATTTTAATTCAATTTCTAGGCAATACATGATTTCCTACTTTACATATAACTCTATATAGGCTAAATCATGATTACCTACATGTATAGGACATAATGGTTGAACTTTTCACACCAATTTAAGCATGCATGCAACCCAGCAGAGAAATTCAAGGGACAGAGGGAAAGAAGCATAGAAGGGTCGCGCTACTCGTCCAGACCGAAAAACAGAGGCAAAAATAGGCTGACGTGGCCTTGGTTAAGTAAGTAAATACGGTGAAGAAAAAGGGCAAAGTTGGTAGACACTTATTAAAAATGGAAAAGATTAATTCAGACATAACACTCTCTCTCTCTCCCCCCTCTCCCCGCCCACGAACCGAATCTGAAGAGCCCCAAATTCGAAGCCCTAAGCGTAAGAACCCATCTCCGGCCACACGTCCAATCGTGGTATTGACTCTCCCACTGCTGTGAAAGGCTTCGTCGTCGGTCAACCTACCATATCCGGTCGTCATTGAAGCTGTGACCATCTCGAACCTGTTGTCGACAAATTACCGCCATCGTCTTAACCAACGGAGTGTTTCTTGTACCGGCGCATAACGAAATAAGTCTTTTTTTTCAGCATTGCCCAGGTAGTATGACAAAGTTAAATCAAGCAGTGCGATTCGTCGTGTTCATCGATTTCATAACCTTATTGAATTAGTGGATTTTTGACATTATTGAATTTGTGTTTGAACTGTATTTCTTGGGTATTTATGCCTATAGTGCAGCTATGAGAGGTCGTTGTATGTCTGTGTATATATGTATGCAGCTATCTCTTTGCTATGAGTATATTATATCTCGAGATTTTAATCTGTATTGATGAATGTATTTCTGAGTCAGAGGTCGAAGTCATGTTTTTGTATTCTCTATAATGTTTTCCATTTCATATTTCACTCTGTAGCTCACTACTTAGAGGTTGAAGTCATGTATTTGAAGTAGAGGTAAAATTAGGAACTATATTTACTCGCTGGATTACTGATTATATTGATCTGTGTGTTAACTAGAATTGTTGGGTATTCGTAGTGGTGGATTGGTTGAATTGGTGGACTGGTGAATTCCGTTTTCTTGTTGGTGGTTGAGATGGGTTGTTTTACAGATTTAAGTGGGGGTTTTATTGTGTTTAATCAGATGTGATTAGATGTATTTTTTTATTGAAATGTTGCATTATCGTTTGTATATGTACATTTGTTTTCCTAACTTCAGCCAGTCGAATAACATTACTAACTTCACCTTTCTTGGTGCTGGTGGATTCCATGTTAGCATGCCTAGAACGAACTCCGGAGTCTGTCATAGTTGTAGAGGTAAAGATCACTTCTTTGCCGAGTGCAAAAAGAAACGCCCTTGCCCACTATGTAAGCATGGATTCGAGAAATGTTTTGTCGTGGAAAAGGAGACTAAAAATAAAGGGAGATTGTTCCTTTGTTGCAGTAACAATTGTGGATTTTGGGAGTGGGTTATAAATGAAAAATCAAGTGGTCCGTCGATAAACCCTACAAAGAATGAAATAGTTGAAGAAATGTCCCGTTCGTTCCAATCTCGAGTTCGAATAAGTGATGATAAAGAGGTCCAGATTTCAGTGAATGTGACGGTGCAGACGGCAAAAGTAAGGGCGGAAGGGAATCTGAAAGAGAAGCTGCCAGCTTGATTAGTAGATAATGATTGAATATGTTTTCTTAGAAAATTTTGTATGTAGGTGATAACATCGGCATCTATTAGCAAAAATCTTTTTTATACAGTTTTGAGCATGTTAATGTAGTTATGTCAAACTGAGTTTAATTTGGATTAGTTCTAATATGTTTCTTTGTAAAATCAAACTATGAATTGATTGATGAGATCTATAACTTTTCCAGTTTGAGTTCTTTCATGTAAATATGGTGTTTTATCTCATTATTCATTATATCGTCTTGTTTATATTTTATTTATTTATTTATCGTTGAGAATTTCATATTCAAGAGTTTTATTTAATTTATCATGTTAACCTGTAAAGGTGATGGTTGCTAACAACTTGCAGGACATGGTCTTCAACTCAGGGAAAGGAGTGGACACTGTGAAAAAATTGCTCCAATTTTGGATGAAGTTTCCGTATCATTTGAAAGTGATGTTGATGTTATCATTACTAAAATCGATGCTACTGCAAATGATATCCCAAGTGAAATTTTTGACGTTAAAGGTTATCCACCATTATATGTGAAGACATCGAGTGGAAACATATTGCCATACGAATATGATTGATTTTATTCGGAAGAATCGAGCTACAGTTGCAGAACCTAAGAGTTTAAATATGGGATACATTGTACTCAATTACATATACGCTGCCAATACAAAAAATTTCCATTTCTTGCATTTGTGCACGCCTGCAATGTCCAATTTATCTCTTAAAACATCTACTTCTGCATACATGCACATAATCAAATGACAAATAAATATGTTGCAAAATAATAAAGTCATAAGTCAAGACCAAACACATTTCAATTATTTCAAACCAGTGCTAGACAAGACAAGGAGTTTTGACATTCAAATCGATAAACATATGAATTTCACAACGGGAACAAAAATAATGGCACATATTTTTAGACATTTCTAAACTTAAAATTGAAAGATCAAACCATACCAAATCCCATAAGAGGAATCATATTTGTGGTCTACAGAAAACATCATCCAACAAAAAATTGCCCAACACAAAACAAAGCAGCTACAGCAGTACCGCAACCTTGGATCACCCCCACCTCCGCCTGCTGTATTCATGGACAAAAACACCCGAGTCATCTGCCAAGTCATCATCGGCAAGAAAGAGGTACGAGTGTACCAGATAACGAATATTCCAACAGTTGCTATACCAACATAAGATGCAATCGCCTGCATAAATGTTTAAAGTTTAAATACATATCCAAAGCAAATTTTGATAAGCTTAAAAGTAACTTAAAATTTACATTTTCAAGTAAAATTTTGTTTCTAAGTACATTTGGATGTGGTGTTAGAATCAAGCTTACCAGATACCGAAAGAGAATCCATGGACTGATCAACGAGTCATCGCTTCTTCGTGGTGGTTTCTTCATTATATCCTCGTCTGGTGGATTGAATCCTAGAGCCGTAGCTGGTGGTCCACCAGTAACCAGGTTAACCCACAGAAGCTGAACTGGGATCAGACCCTCAGGGATACATACATATGTCCTAAATCTTGGATCCAACATGAAAAATAGAAATGTATGTATGTATAAAACAAATAGAAATGCATACACACAGAGAGCATACAGAAACAGAGACAAATGAACACCCACTAAAAGCAACAGACCAAAAAGGACATGAAAAACAATAAATGACCTGTCATTAAAAAAAAAAATGCAACCAGGATCAGATATTTCGTAAATTCATCAGTATCCTCCCAGGCTAGTAATCACAAAACATGTTAAACTCCAAACACACTGAAACAGGAAGAGAAGATCCATTAGAAAGCGAAAAAATGAAATGACAAATTTAACTGCTAATTCTCAATGCCACTACAGAGATCAGATACAACCATCCACGCAGATTACATACAAAACAAATCTGCCTCCTCATAAAAACTGAAATCATTCTGGTGCATTACAGATCCAGTAGCTACCATATATATATAGATTCTTTCGCTTGTGACACTATTGGAGGCATCATGCTTTATCAAATATACATATATATATATATATATATATATATTTGGATAGTATAATGGCATACATTGACCTACGTCGACCATCTTCATCATCTGCTGCGTTTGGATAGTATAATGGCATACATTGACCTACATTAACATACAATGTGAACGGTTAACGATCAAAATGGCCGCATGTATTTTTAATTCATATATAAGAGGAACCTTTATACCTTGCGATGTATACATAAAATTTGGACTTTGGGAGTGGATCAAATTTGTACTTTGCGAGACATGTTGGGGGAGGGAGAATGGCGTGGGGATGGAAAACTGTGAAAGGGAGAACGGCATTGGGGGCAACATCGAATTTTGTTGATGGAGCTGTGCTTGGATGTTGATTTGTCCATCAACCATATGACTTTGGCTTTTTATCGGTCCGTCATGATGGGTTGATGTCGAATCGGCATGTTTCTGCATAGAAGGTAATTGTAATTTATATTTTGAAAAATCCACTAATCCGAAATAACTTTATTCGACATACCTTCGATTTCTTCGATGCAGTCTCCAATGGGCCTTTTCTTCTAAG